CCCCAAAACCCCAAAACCCCAAAACCCCATTACATTAAAAATTAGAAAATTTAAGTTTTGTAAAGTGATTAAAAAGTACAAGAATTCAAGATTGATTTTCTTCTTCTATAGGATCCTCAACCTAGTGGCTGTAAGATCTTCCCTTTTTCTTTAGATGCCCCATTGTGCCAATTCCTCCTATGCTATCATTGTCATCACTAGATTAATCGCTCTTGACTGCACTAGATTTTCTTCTGATTTTCTCTACAATCAGATGTTCCAGCATTGGCCAGTTCTTGAGTAACTTCTTAGCAAGATTAGATGCAGTTTACTTGAAGGATTCTCTTGGATGCAGCAAACTCTTAATTCTTAGTTGCTCCATTCCCATTTAAATTGCCCCATCTACATTCATCTAATCATCTTTGCCTTCATTCTTTAAGTTCTCATAGTATAATTCATTCAAGTACTTGTCTACCTCTACTCCATCATTTGGATGTATACGAAGCATCTAGACCACTGCCTCGGAACTTACACTCAGAGCATGTAAATCATAGCCTCCCTCCAAAACTACTACAACCTTAGGGCAAAGCTACCTAAATTACTAAGTCATATAGGCATATCCAAGTGGCGTGACTCCAATTTGACCAAGAGGATCTCCCAAGGCAGAGTCAAAACCAGCTGAAATAATAAACAGTTCTGGCTTGAATTCTCTAATTAATGGAATGAAAACTTATTCTAGTGCGTAAATGTAATCAGTATCGCTTACAAGTGTCTTGTTTTATTTGTCAACATTAAATGGAAACTGAATATTGTAACCTCTACCTTTGCCTTCTCCAACTTTGTCGTGCTTGCCAGCTGGGCCAGGGTAAAATGCTCCATTGTCGAATCTATGTATACTCATGTAGAGTACAGAGTCATCTTCCTTAAAGATATCACTAGTTCCATCTCCTACATGCACATCCCAATCAAAGATAGCAACTCTCTTAAGACCGAATTCCTTCTAAGCATATCTTGCTCCTACAGCTGCGTTATTGAAGAAGCAAAAGCCTGCAACATTTTAGCAGGAAGCATGATGACCTGGAGGCCTGACTATACAAAAGGACGAATCTACTTCATGGTTCAAAACTGCTCTAACACCCTCTATCGTTCCACCTGCTGCCAAGTAAGCTGAAGTCGCAGTGTGTTTATTCTCATAGGTGTCTTTCTAGAATCTAAATGTGTTTTTATGTGATCCTAGCAGTATTTCCTTTTCCTTCTGCTTAGGGTCATAAATAATTTCTTTTATCTTTTGAATATGCGAATGAGGATGAACCAATTCTAGAAATCTATCCTCTGCTGGTTCAGCATCTAATGGCTTTAGTTCCTTGTAAATCCTATACAGAATAAATACATCATGATTTGAATCTTAATTTACCCTTTATTTATTAGATTTAAATAGATAGCCATAGCTCTCTCAGGTCTTTCAGGGTGATGATCTCTGTGATTTTTGTGCAATAGCATCTCTTCATCGAATACTACTCCTACCTTTGGCTTTACTAAATTACATTATATTCTCTCAGTCTCAGCTGAACTATATCTTACCCATTACAGGAGCTTTATTGTTCTGATATTCCTTCATTCGGCTTCTTAAGTTACTAGCAGGACCATCATTTGCAACAGTAGCACCTTTAGCTGCTGGCTTCTTTTTCTTTTTCTTGCTGGCAGCTGTCTTACTGCTATCTTTAGTCTCTTCATCATGAGTACTCATATCTGCTGTATAATCCGTCTGCATCCCACTTGCTACTGTATTTGCTGTGGAATCAATATTGAAGTTTTCAAATTTATTTTAAAGCTCATCTGCCTCATTTTTGTTTTGCTAAGTCTACAATAGCTGGGTAATTTGTTGATGAGATTCCATTTCTCTAAATATCTTGTCAAAGGATATAATAATATGATTGATTATTTTTTGAATTTAAATTAATTTAAAGCTTGAAGGTTGATTACAGTCGTAACTTTTAATTTAATCGAAATAAACTAACTAATTAAATATTATTTAGAAAGGGATTTGATAAGAAAAACATGAAATTAATCAATAAGTTTAAAATCACAGACAAGCCAGGCAAACCTCTATTCAAAGACAGTGATAACATTCTTACAACTATCATGTCTCCCTGTCCTTCAGAATCTAACTTAAATGAAACCTCTGTAGATCTTTATGAGAATTTCGGGTCGTAAATGGATGACAAACGTAGCTTTTAATTGCAGCAGTATCCCTCATATGTTGATTCGGTGAGATATAGTATCGGAACAGTTTACTTAAAAAATGTCAGTGCTAGTAAAGAACTAAGTTTCGATAAACAAAGACCTCAGTGGAAGCAAAGTATGATAGACTAAAATTCAATGAGAGTCACACTATGTGAAGATAGCAGAAGTCTTCCAATAAGTAGAAGTATCCTGAGTAGTGGCACAATAAGTGAATCAATTAATAACTAAACAGATTCTATAAGTTAATATTACCGGACTGTACTCTCTTAGAAATATCAGAAAAAGCATATTTCAGTAACTCAGGCTCATAATTCTCTGGAAAATAGCTTAGAAAGGAAGCCTTAACTTTTGGCAAAGGCTTAGTTAGAATGGTAATAGAGATCATTAGAATCTTAAAGGCTATATGCGCAAATGGTTAAATAATAGGAGGGTAAATAGAAAATTCCAAATATGATCAAATTGTTAATAGAGAAGAATTACAAAGCGCTGAGTGCTGTTGAAAATTTTGAGGAGCTAAATAAAAAGGATTAGTTAGGTCATTCGCTTTTAGATATGATTATTTTGTATGGCGAGTCACTGCATAATAAAAAAGTAATGCTAAAATATTTCCTAGACAAAGGCGCATCTATACGAAGTAGACACATATAGATGCTTATTGCAGATCAAGACTAGGATTAATAACTTATATTCAGATTGCTTTGCTCAGCTCACTATAAAAAGAAAATTAAGCTTCTAAAAGATTTTATTAAGAATGAGCTTCCGGCTCTTGATTTCAGAGACATTGATATAAAGATAGAAAGATCAAATATTATTAAAGCTTTTGTTGGTGTCAAATTTGATCGAATTCAAATAAGAAGGATTTTTACTCAGTAATCATAGGATTTATCAATACTTTACTCAAAGAATAATTCTAAAATACTAGAGATATATATCTAGCAAGAAACTTAGCAAATAACAGTCATCGACTACATTAAGAAGTAGCAGATGAACCTCTTAGAATCAATGGATATCCAGTTTATAAAAGAGCTGATGGAGAAGTTTGATATATCAAACAGATCAGTAAGAAAATCAATGATGAAGACCTAAAAAAAGTGCAGTATATAATACTACAAAGATTTTAAATTGTATTACAGTCAGCTGCGAAATCACATAAAGGAGTGCCAATTATACAGCGATTACATAAACTAGCCATTCAAGTAGTTTGTGGCTTAGCATTTAGACAGAGAATTTACTTGCAGTTTTTTATAGAAAGGCGAGCAGGAGATCACTAAGGATGAATTTAAGTTGTTTCAATCAATGGTAAAGCATGGCCTCATTTTTCTCTATGGATTCAATTTCGATCAGAAATAGATAACCAAAGAACTATTTAAAAACTATCTCAAATAGCTTGAATGGTGTGAGTTTTAGTTTGTAAAAGAAATCACTATAAGCCAGTTTTTCAAGGTTAAAATAGACTTTGTCAGTAATAAGACTTAGAGTAATTTAGAGGGCTAGCTTTAAGCCTAAATCAATCATGATAGAGCAAAGTTCAAGGAAATGCTAAATATATTCACAATAAGCAATGGACTTAAAAACGATTTATTTAATATCCACCTGAATTATATATTCAATATTTGACTACATAAGCTTTATATTAATTTGTAAAGATAATTTTTCTCCTGCCTCAATCTATTTTTAACCTTTACCAGGGGTTTTGGGGTTTTGGGGTTTTGGGGTTTTGGGG